TATATATATATATATATATATATATATATATATATATATATATATATATATATATATATATATATATTAAAATAATAATATGAAATTACACGTAAATGAGAACGTGTGTGGGTATAGGATGATGTGAAAGTTTACTAGATTTGACTAAGAATTATTTTCGGTTGGACAGTGTGTTGTGAGCCCATCACTTCTCCCTTATTTCCTGCACGCGTTTCTTTCATTCATTTTCGTTTTCCATAATTAAATAAACAATAAAAAAATAATTCTTTCTTTTTTCTTTTTTTTTTGAGAAAATAAATTAATTATTCAATGGACCTACCTTGATTCCTCCCCAAATAAATTATTTCAACTCATTTTCAACCAATTAGTGCTTCTAGAAAATACTTTGATTTTTTATTTTTTTTAATGTGAATAAATTTCATCTCAAATTGAATATTATTGTTTTTCAATAAAATATTTAAATTGAGTAAAATCTAGAGTTAGCTAGAAATAATATTTCAATTTGTAATTGCTCTAGATATTCAGTAGATAGTACGTACATTCGATGTAATATACCAGACTATTAACTATTGATCTGCACATAATTACACACACTCTCATTTATTTGTGTTTAGTAAAAAGTTATTTCGCTACATCAATATTTAATAATTACCAGTATTATTTCATCGCGTGTAGCATCTCAATAACCATATATACACCCACACTTATTAAATATAAGTGGGGATTGGTATTAAACACCATATTCGAAATGGGTACGGATTTTATGATTTTTCAACATGTATTTGTCCCTCCCGTACCTTGTTGGCATAAATAATTATTTATAATACAAAAAATAATTAAAAAAAAAAAAAAAAAAAAAATCAATTTCAACTCATTATGTAGGGTACTCGATCTACTCCTTGAATTTGATATATAACATTTTATCTTGTTAGCAAATATTGAGGGCCATAGGTATAATAAATTGTGCCTATAGTAGTACGAACTGAGTAACTAGGGGAATTTGATATATAACATTTATCTTGTTAGCAAATATTGAGGGCCAAAGGTATAATAAATTGTGCACACAGTAGTACTAACTGAGTACCTAGAGGTGGAAATTGGAATGAAATTTCTAATTTATGCTAATTCCGATCTAGAATTTTTTTGATTTTGGATTAATTTCTTTCAATCCGAATTTCAAAATTACGACGTCCATTTTTTTTCGAAATTATTTAGATCAGAGTTGGAATATATATGAGTTTCCGATTTTCTTTTCGAAAATTTTGATTTATTTTCCGTCTTTGGTACAAGTTTTTCATTCCTACATCCGATTTTCCTGAGGTCTTTTGGGACGTAATTGAAATTAGTTTTTCACCTTCGGAAAAATCGTATTTCCTTTTCTTTTTCAAAAAGGCTAATTCTGATCCGTTCGATTTACACCCTACGGGCTTCCAGTATATAGCAATACTCACTCCATTGTCATCCTGCAACTTACTAGGAAATCAAAATTTATTTATTCGAAGGATCTTCTTTATTTTATTAAATTTTGAAAAAAAAAAATTAAATTTTTTTTTGGTGTGTGTGTGTGTGTGTGTGTGTGTGACAGGTAATGACTAATGGGAGGTTCAAGAGTGTAAGGCATAGAGTTGTGGCGAACAGCAGAAAAGCAAGAATATCAATGATTTATTTTGGAGGACCACCTTTGTGTGAAAAGATAGCTCCTTTGCCTTCTTTATTAATTCAAGGGGATCAAGACAGCTTGTACAATGAGTTTACTTGGTTTGACTACAAAACTTCTGTCTACACTTCTCGTCTTTCTGATAATAGGTTGGGCCTTTTTGAGAAAATTGCTGCCTGATCTTTCTTTCTTTTTTCTTATTAATTGTCGAAAATTCTTAGATTTTTTTTTTTTTTTTTTTTTTTTTGGGATAGGTATAGCTTTGATTGATTTTTTTTCACGAAATCTCTACTCTTCGTATTGGATTTTCCCGAACCCCGAAACAATAACTAGTTAGAAATAAATTTTACTTGTTAAAGACATTGATTGTTGATGCGTGTACGTTCGTGATGTTGCTTCGATCGAGGTTGGATAACTTGGAAGCCATCTCAAAGATATGATAGATAGAATAGGGAATGCGATGGGTCACCACCATATATAGACGAGCTTGAAGTAGTTCGACACTAGATATTCATTTGTGGACCTACGACAAAGTGAAACATTAGGTGACTCGTCGAGGTTGCCACAACGATTATCCTCCAAACGCTCGAATCAATTATTGGGCCAATAAAATTTGTAGAATTCAATTAAACACTTGAACGATATGAATGAGTTCACATTTTTTTGTTCCCACGGGCTTTTTCGATGGATTAGTTAGCTTGGCTTAACTTCAAACCCCTAAACTTATAAGTAGTGCATAATTAGGTCTATTGGGCTAATATCCATCTAGGTCAAATTAGTCATGGTATACATATCGTAGTAGTCTTGCGACTATAATACATCTTCGTTAAACGTTGGAAGTCTTACGACTAGAATACATCTTGGTTGTGATCGATATGGAATAAAATGTGTAAGGTCAACGAATTTAAATGTGGAAAGTACTAAATGGATCGGTACGGAAAAATGCAATTGTCGTTGGAGTTCAACATTACGGGGATATATATATATATTTAAACTTCTAATATTATTAAATTTCGCAAGAGCAATATGCGACTACTGAAATGTTTACCAAAAATCATGTAAAGCCGAAGATGATTTTAGATCAATTGCAAAACCCGCCCCATTGCCATCTCTAATTATTGGTGTCACCCTGGTGGAAGTTTTTTTAATTATTGCATTAGCATTTACGCGCCAAGAAAACAAAGAGTACTATACATTGGTATTGTATATATTGAAAAAGGCTTCTCGTAAAAGGAAGTGGATTAGGCGTAATTGTGACAGATAGAGAGATAGGAAATGTGTTTCCGACCGCAAATCATCTATTGTATCTATTCCAAATCAATAGGAATGTGGGTGTGGAGCTTGTGTGTTCTAGGCATGGAACTCCATTAGCCACTCCCATTTGGGGCGTGAAACATCGTTGCTTCCGTCCATTTTGGACCTGGAACAACTAGTTTAACATAATTTGACTCTTAGAGAGAGAAACGCATGCACTAAAAGTTGAAACCACTCGTAAAAATAAAACAAAAAATAGCATAATGTATAATAACAAATAGTGTGATTCGAAACTCGGAATCTAGTTATAATTTTGGCATCGTTCGGTATTTCATCGAAACTCCCTAATCTCATAAAAAAAATAAAAATAAAAAATCAAAATTGTGTTGGGATGCCAACATAGGCACACTACCTACCTAGATAAATCAAAACTGCCATGTTTTTGGTAAAATCCTAAAATCATATTAGCTAAACCCCATTTTACACTAAGCACATACATTCAAACACATACAATCAAACAACAAATCCAAGAGAATTAGGTCTTATTACATCAAACACTAGAAACAAACACATGCAAAAATGGTAAGAGATCAAAACCATTTTCCTAAATATCATTGTGAAAAACACTCTACTTATGGCCCTTCTTTCTCCACAAGTCTCCAAACATTCGAATACCCGAAACTCTCCTCTTTTCACCGCCGAAAGCATCCTCGTGTTCATACTCAAATGCACGACCGTAATACTTATTGTCCATCGAACCACATCTCTCCGATATTCCTCTACCGTTGATCTCCAATTCCCCAGCCAAAACCGACGCTGCAGATTCCGCCGCTTTTCTCCATTGCTCCGTTTGCACTTTAAGCCTCTTCATCTCGTTTTCTAGCTCCTCCTTTTCCTTTTCGGTAGCATCTAGCTTCTCGCTCAAGCGGGCCCCACTTACTCTACTCTTTACCACCTCATCTTCGGCCTTCCTCAACTTCAAACTCATTTCCTCAATCTCCGATTCGGACGACGACAACTTCATCGACTTATCGTCCAGCTGGCGCTTCAAGTTCTCGTTTTCTTTTCGGAAAAACTCCAATTCTTTTTCTCTCTCATCCAACATTGACTTTACCAAATTTATGTCATCTAAAGGAGATTCGGTCAACTTAGATTCCACAACTAATTTCTCTACCGAAACTTCGAAAACGTCAGTTCCCTCATCTTCATTGTTCGATACTCGAGGAATATTCTTCGATAGATCCTCGGATTTGTCGTCGAGTACTTCTTGAGCCGCGATCTTGTGCTTGAGCGACTTGAGCTCGTCTTGCGCTTGACCGAGTTGAGATTCCAAATCGGAGATTCGGGTTCCGAGTTTCTTTTGATTCAACGGCTCCGATTGCGAGGTGATGCGAGGGGATCGACCGTTCGATAGCCTCGGACTCCTCTCGGTTCGTGGCCGGTGATGTAGCGGATCCGAATCGGAGCTCGACGATGTACGGATATTAGGTGGGCCCCGCAGAGATGATTGCCGTTGTGGCATTTCTGTGGATCTATTGTGTACAATATATCATAATGATCAAAATCAATCCAAATTCACACACACAGATTTTATATTTTATTTAGATATTGCAAATTAAAAAATAAATAAAAAAATAAAAATTACCTTGATCGAGGCATTTTATTTCTTCAATTAAAGCAACTATGTGAATGCAACCGCGATGAACCTGCTGAGATAAGTTTGCACGTACATATTAGTTATTACAATTTGCTATGAATATTTTTTAATTTTTAATTTTTTCTTTTTTTTTAGAGAGTGAGAAAACATTGTCAGAACAACAAAGACAGCTCTGCTGCTTTAATTTCTGCTTATTGAAAAAAGTTAAAGTAACTTTATTACAGTCACACTTTATTGCAGCCATGCAAAATAACAGTATTATCAAAAGATGTGATTTTGCTCAGTCCAAAAATTCATTTCTTATCAATAATAAAATAATATCAAACAAAATAAAATAAAATAAAAAATGAAAAATTCACCTGACTTATTTTCAAACTGATATTAGCGTTGAGCCCATTAATTAATAAAGTAAACAATATTGTTAACAAAGGTCCTCTTAATTAATAATAAAAATAATAATAATAATAATAAAATCCTCAAGGAATTTTTCATTTTTTTTTATTACACACCAGAAGAACATAAAAATGGAACAAACAGATGTCTGTAATGGAAAACATACAGCAAGGAAAATAATAAGCCCACAACATCATTAAAATCCACAAAAGTAGCAGAATAATTTATACTATTATACAATACATATATATATATATATATATATATATATATATATATATATATATATATATATATATATATATATATCTATATACACACACACACACACACACACACACATACATACATATATATATATATATATATACATATATATATATATATATATATATATATATATATATATATATATATATATATATATATATATATATATATATATATATATATATATATATATATATATATATATAACATAAAACATCTTACCCTGATTATGTTATTCTTGGACGATCAAACAAAGGAGAAGAGGAAGAAGAAATGGAATTTTAAGTTTGAATGGCATTTATATTATGAATACATATGTTTATTTTATAAAGGCTAGAGAGAGAGAGAGAGAGAGAAGCTCTTTTAGGGAAACGAGAGAAGTTGTAAAAACTGTACGCATAGTGCATTTAACCGACACCAAGTAAAGGCTAGAGAGAGAGAGAGAGTGAAAGAGGAGAGAGAGAGAGAGAGATGTTTTGAAAATTTGAATTAAAGGGTTGAAACTATAAAAACATGGGTACAAAAGTAGCAACTGTTGGGAATGGAAAAGGAGAGAGAGAGAGGGAGAGCGTGCGGTTGGAAGAGGACAAGAAAGTAATTTCGCAAGGTTTGAAAGAGGACAAGAGAGTAATTTTAAACAAAGTTTTCATTATTGATGAAAATCTTGGGAAGTGCCAACTTGGACGACACTAGTATCTTTTCCCAGCTTCTCACTTTTAATTCTCTTGTCTTTTGTTTTCAAACGAGATCTTTCTCTCTCTCTCTCTATCTTCTCTCTCTCTCTCACACAGTGTGTGTGTTTGTGTGCATCAATATTATTATTAACAGTGGTGCCTTTAAACTTCAACGTTTTTAATTTTTTTAATGCATTAGTTAAACTTTCTTTGATCTTTTTCTCAAAAAGGTGGAGAGTGTCTCTTTTGATGTGAGATTCTTGAATTATCACATGAAAATGGTGTCTTTTATAAGTTCCTTGACTTTTTATTATTATTTATTTCTTTTCGAAACGAGTTAACCTCACATACTTAAGATTATTAGACTAAGGCCCATTGAATGATAAAAACTTACGCAAATTACGGTCAACTACCGAGTTATGGTCAAATTACGAAAATCTTCCTCTTATTTAGGTAATTACAGTCACCTCCCTTAATTATGTATTATCTTACGAAAAGACCCCTGCAGAGGTAAATTTAGGGATTTTAATTTGGTAAAATCGAACCGAAATTTCGGTACACCGACATTTCATACCGTTTACTGAACTAAATATACAATTTAGTACGTGGATTTATTTTGGATTAATTTATATTTTTGTTTTAATTGGTGGATTTGGTATCTTATAGGTACAAATCGAATATTAGGTGTCCAGGAAGGAAAAATGATCAAATAGTAAGAAAAGAGTTGCAATTAGGAAAATAAAATCAAATTAGAAGAGAGAATCCCTAAACCTCTTTGGTAGTGTCCACGAAGTCGAGCATAACTTTCTCATATGGACTCCAAATCAACTGGTTCTGGCGGCATTAGAAAGCTATTTCAGCTGGCTACAATTCCTGGCTAATGGCAAATTTCCAAATTCGGACTCGAACATGGTCAAAATTGGATTCCAAAAGCGATCATGAAAATACGTAATACAGTTCGAGGACATGAATGCGCATCAAGAAACGTGCACAAAAACACTCGCTAGAAAAGATACGCACATAAGTAAAAGTACAAAAGCAAGCACAAAAGTATCACGCAAAAGTGCATTCGCAAAAAGGATCATGAAAACACAAACTACAATCCTAGGACATTAATACAAATAACCAAACATGCACAAGTACAGTCGCTCAAATAGACATGCACAAACGTACATATAAAAAAATATGCCCAAAAGTGCATTCGCAACAACGTTCTTAAAAACACGAACTACAATACTAGGACTTTAATACGCATCAACTTGTATCTTGCCCAAAATGCCCCTCACAATATAATTCACATAAATTTCATCCATAACGTCCCAATGTAGTAATTATTGCGCATTGACCCTCAATTTTAACAAATATATCACATAAACTCTCAATTTCACAATTTTTTGAAAAAGTATTTTTTTTTTCAGAATTTTTTTTTCCTGAACCTTTGACCGCATGTCTCATGCGTTGACTTTTTTTTTCCAACAATACTATTGTCTAGACATGCCAGGGGTCCAACCCGAACACTGTGGAAAGGGACCCAGTTGGCGTGGGTCGGTTTCGGGTCTTGATTTTGCGAACCCGAGACCCAACAGGTCTCCCCGGCGCGGGTCGACCCGAGGACCCGAAAGTTTTAATGTGCAAATAACACAAAAATGCAATGGTTAGGGGTCGAACTTGGGGTGTTCGAATAGTTTTGTAGAGTACTAACCATTCCGGAAAAACAATTTCTTACAATATTACTAATTGCAAACATATAAATATGAATAAAACTGTAAAATAATTGTTGATACTTCGTCCAGGTATTGGAACAATTTATTTATGTTTATTCATAAGCTCTAATTGGAGGAGGAGGTTGTAGAATTGGGGAGTGGCGCTGGAGGAGCCTCTGGAGCGGCTCGTCGTTGTACTTGAAACGCCGTGGGATTTTGCTGATTTTACGGATTTCATTTAGTTGTTTCTGCCGGCGAAAAATGGGCGGTCTAGTTCCGACGCCGTGGCAAATTACAGCTTTTTTTTGGCTGGTTTTGGTGATTTAGTTGATTTCAATATTTCTCATAGTAGGTTTCGATAATATTGTAGTTGGTTTCAATATATTGTAGTTGATTTCGATGATTTTGTAGTTGGTTTGAAGATTTTGTAGTTGTTGGATAAAATTGTAGTGTATTACTACAAATTGTATTTGTAGTTGGTTCCTAAAATTTGTAGTTAGATTGAGGTGTTTTATAGTTATTTTTGTTATAAATTGTAGTCGTATTCGAATTTTGTAGTTGATTATTGTATTTGTATTTGATTATTGAAATTTGTAGTTGTTTAATGATGTGGCAGGTATGCTAGGAAAAAAACCGATTTTATTAAAAAAAATTGAATTTATTAAAAAAAATATTTTGTTAAGAAATTAATTTATTAAAAAGAACAAAAGAAAAATGTAGAAAATAAAACAATATATAGGTAATGGGTAAGACCGTAAGAGGGATGGGAAATTAGAATAAGGGTAAAATAGAATTATGAAAAGTTGTGGGGTGGAGGCTTGGGGCGGAAAATGGCGTGGACATCATGGAAGAATCTTTGCATTCCGAAGTCTAGAGGGGGCATGGGATTCAGGGATTTAAGAAGTTTCAACTATGCATTGTTAGCCAAGCAGTTGTGGAGGATATTAACGCAATCGGATAGTCTCCTTTCCAAAATCATCACGGCTCGTTATTTTCCACACGGGGATATTTTTAGAGCAGGCGTTGGTACACGCCCGTCAGTTACTTGGAGAAGTTTGCTAAAGGCTCGTCCGTTTTCTCACTGCTGGAATTAGAAGAAGGATTGGCGACGGACATGAGACGGCAATTTGGGCAGATCCATGGTTATGCGACGACGGAAATTTTAAAATTATTACGCGAAGACCTATGGACTCAAGTTATCCCGATCAAGTGTCCGATTTAATCGACCAAGATACTTGGACATGGAGGGTTCAACTCATTGACAAGGTTTTTTGGCAGGTGGACAGGGAGAGGATTATGTCCGTCCCAATTGGTAGTAGAATTGCACGGGATAGATGGATATGGCATTACACTCAATCTGGGCATTTCACAGTCCGATCATGCTACCACAACATATTGTCGAACAACCGTTATTTGAGTAGAGCTGGATCTGGAGGAGATGGTTCAAGTAGCGGCGAAAATGTTCGGCGATGGAATCTTATTTGGGAGATTCCTCTTCCTCCGAGAATTCGTATTTTCTTATGGCGGGCATGTTCGGAGATACTACCCACTAGCGCCGCTGAATTGTGGCGGCAAAAGGTGGCATCATCTCCAATATGCTCTCGATGCGGAGCAGCTGTGGAGACAGTTATCCATGCTCTCCAAAACTGCGGCGGCATGGGGATGGTTTGGAACTCATCACCTTTCCACTTGAAACCTCTTGAGCAGACATGTTCTATGTGGGAGTGGGTCAATCACATGCACAACAATCTTAATGGGACCAATTTTCTCCTGGCTCTTATTGTTACTTGGAAAGCAGGGGAGGTAAGGAATAGGGCTATACATGGAGATGAAGGGATTACAGAGGAAGAATTGGTTCAATGGTGTTGGGCTTATCTCTCCGCTTACCAGCAAGCACAACTGTCAAAGTTTTCTTCTCCAAGGGCTCAATTTCAGACTTCCTGGACTCCACCCCATGAGGGAGTAATTAAAGTGAATTTCGATGCAGCTATTCCCGTGGACAATAACTTTTATTCAGTGGCCATGATAGCTAGAGACTGGCGAGGGGAGTGTTGTAGGTGGGCTGTCCGTAAATTTTCGGGGCGGCTAAAGGTGGTAGATTGTGAAGCACATGCTGCTCTTGAAGCTATTGCACTGACTAAATTACATGGTTGGAACTCGATCATTTTAGAGGGGGATTGCTTAAATGTCATCAATGCCTTGAAAGTCGGAGTTCTTTCTTCCTCCTCATTTGGAGCATATATTGAGGAGATTTTAACTATTACTGCATCTTTTGATTCATGTAACTTTCTTTTTATTAAGCGTAACGACAATTTTTTGGCACATACTCTTGTCACGAAGTTAAACTTTACTTTCAGTGAAGGGACTTCTCTTCCCCAGACTTTGGCGATATATGCCCAATAAAATCATCATTTTCTCAAAAAAGAATTATGAAAAGTTAAGAAGCTACAAATAACAAACTGGATCAAGTTCTATTAAAAAAATAAGAGGGGGTCTCATTAACAAAACCTTTAATTTAAGGAAAAAATAGTGAGAATTTCTTCACTAAGCGACCTAATTTGAGGTAATGACAATAAACACCATTTTTATACGAGCTAAGTCCCTTGCAAATTTTTCTAATTATAATTTATCAACTTACACTAAAAATCAACTGATTTCAGCCAATTATCTCTCCCATTCTATCTATGCCCATCTCGAGTCAGCTATTTTGAATAAGCTGAGTGAATATATTAACAATTGAGTCAATTAACCTAAACAAGTCGAATCAAGTTATTTTAACTTAGTTGATCGATTCAAATCAGTAGAGTAGATTGATTTACAACATAGTGAATAAGTTGATTCAACAAATTTTAAATTTCACGAACAAACATGTGGTAGTACGTTTTCATAAAAAAATAGTGTGACGCATATTTTTTTAGTAACAAAATAGTGCTAAGCTTTTTTCTCTCTCTCTTTTTTTTTTCCTTAATAAAAAGGTTGTGAGAAAGACCTAACTCAAAGCCAAAAAATATGTTCTTCTTATGTCAAATGGAAACATATTTGATGTTTTTTTGTCAAGACATTAAAATTTGTTACAGTAGGATATCGATAAATTAATAATCTCGTTTAAATAATAATTTATTTCGGTCATAACTCAGTAAACCCCTACCGATGGTGCTCGAAATCCGCACCCACAAGATCTCCTTCTAAACCTTACTCGTTAAGTCGTCGGAAAGTTCAACACCCATCAGATTAGAGACCGGTGGCGTTAAAACAGTGGATGGAATATAGAGAAGTAGAGAGAATTTTGGAGAGAATGATTATTAATTAGGGTTGTTACAAGTGTTTATATAAGTGAATCATTCTAGGTATTTTCCTATTAACAAAAGGCGTCTTATATGCCTAATTGGGTTACTAATTGGGTCAACCCAATAATCTTACAATTTCTCTATCTACTGGGCCAGACCCGATTTTGAAGAACACTATTACGAAAACCCAATCACCTTCAAATAAGGTTTTGGGCCCAACAAATTAATCTCAGCCCAATCGACAAGGTATAAATAACGATTTAATTCATTTATTAAAGGTACACCCTATTATCTGGACAATTCGACAATTCATATTCTCTAAACTACTACTACTATCCGCACGTCTGACTTGAGCGTCGGAGATGTTTCCGGATCAACCCCCGGCCTAGTCCACGTTTTCTTTGTTCGCAGATATCTCTGGACCATCTAGCACGTGAGCAGTGATCCACTTTGCTCTCCCAACTCCTTTTACCTCAACTACTTAAGATGATCGATTTATAACATCAGCGTGTTATCTGCCAATCATCTCTAAATTACACGTTTCCTTCTTAACTAATCCGATTTTGCCTCCTTTCCTTATATAAAATATCTATTTTCATTCTTCTCCAAGTCTTTCGATGCAGTTCGCACCTTGCATGGGTTTTCCAGCTGAGGCGAGCTCATCACTTTAATTGAGGCGAGCTCGTCATCGAGTTCTCCCGGGACAAGCCCTTTTGCGAGCTCCCATCCTTAAATGCAACTTGTGAACTCCCAATCCCATCATCATAAGGCCCTCTTTGCCAATTCGTACAAAACTCCTCGGGCCCAGCGTTCGCTTCCTCCTTCAGCCCACTTTCTTGGGCCTAGCCCAAGCTTGCCAAAATGGCCTCCATCACCTACTAAATTATTAGTTCGATAATTTAATATTTCACTAAATTAAATTTTTTTTTTCTATTCCTAACTAATAATTTATAAAAGTTTAATTATACAATTATTACTAGTTAGCAGCCCTCTCTTAATAGTCAATTTCGACTTTTCAAGTAGTTAATTGCAAAGAATTGCACTATCATGGCGTCAGTTCAACCTAACACAATTGACATAGTCAAAAAGTATTATAAGGTGGGTTTTGCAAGAGGGCGGCTAGCCAGCTGTCACTCCACCTTGGACACACTCGGGTTACATCTTACACGTTGACATTTATAAATTTATACGAGTAAATAAATTTATACGATTAATTAGATGTCACATCGTGTTATTTATATTAGTTGATTTTTAACCGTCGATCAGTACATAATCACACGCATATTATGTGTGCTTAGTGGATTGTAAGAGTTTAGGTAGGGGTGTTCACTCGGTCGTCTTTCGTACACCGAACAAACTGTACCGAACTGGAAATTTGTATGTACCAAATACCTAACCGAAATTCGATTCGGTATTCGGTCATTTTTTTTTTTGAATTTCGGTATTCGATGCGGTGTACAATATTGATATTCGGTATACCGTACCGTACAAAATAACAAAATATTTAATACATATATTTTTTTTTTTTTAAATCCTTTAATGTTATAACAAATTATACAATACTTATTGATCGATAATTTTTTCAATTATTTACAAATTAGACTACTGATAATCACTTTTTGTATTTATGACCGATTATTGAAATTTGAATGCCAAATTCAAGAATAATTAGTTTAAATGTTTTTTGTTTTTTTTTTACTTTTTTTAAAATAAGAAAATATATATAGTTTCGGTTTTACCGGTATCAAATCGAAAAAACTGGATTAATTTGGTAAAAAATCGTACTTGAACGAATAGTTCGATTAGGTAAACGGTACAAATTTTCGGCGTACATCGAAATTCTGGTGCAATTGATACAGTTTTACCGAGACCCTCATGAACTATGCACTATTTTATTTTTATAAAGAAAAAGTACACAAATTATAAATTATATGTAATAACCTAAAAAGTGAGACTAAACTGTATTCTAGTCATAACAATTTGTTATTATGGACCCCATATTATATTCTACAAAACCAAGTGCAATGCATTATTGCTGATTGAGAAATTAGTGATTCCGATTGGACTCCACCACTAAGCAGATTCAACGAATTAAAGATGCACATCATTATCTTAATTTTTTTTTAAAGTGATTCGTAAGTTTTAGAAATTTTTGAATCATGTTACTTATATAATTACAGATAAAAAATAATGAATTTAAAACAAAAAATCTTCACCCGAACACTTTCGCTTCCGGTCCAAAAAAAAAATCCAAAAAACATAAATTCGAAAACATGAAACAAAAAAATAGCTCAAAACAATTGGAGAGATCTCTTATTAGCATCAATGGCCAAACACAAATTATTACACAAATTTTAATTTTATTACAACAATAAATATCATCACTTAACAAAGATCGAAACCACACAAACAATGGGAAAATTCGATGCTACACCTGGTTTATTAACACCGGGTAATTGTTTAACGAAACCTCATCTACATTTAATAAATATCCGATGTAAATAACGCGGTGTATGCAGCATATAACTTCCCACACAAACAACTCTCAATCGTCGTCGGCATAGATAATATTGATACCACCAATAGTAATATCCTCCCCGCCCGCTTTCGGCACCAACGTAACGAGAATCTTGTCGTCGCCCTCGACATCCAAATCTTCTAGAAGCTCCGTCAACCCTAACCTAATCCTCGTCTTAACGGTCGTCGAATTCCTATGCGGCACCTGCGAGTAACTCCCTGCGTACTCGGCCTTGTCAAGCTCATCAGCCGCCTCGTCATCCTCGTCGTTCACAAAAACATCGAACTTCACAAACTTCGCGGTGTCGACTTCAATCCCTTCGATCACAAGCAACTCCTCTTCGCTCTCCTTCTCCTTCTTGCTCCTCGATTTCTTCGGCCTGCTCACGAGAACCTTCACCACCTTGTCCAGCTTCACCGGAAACACCGTCTCCGGCGGCGGCGCCGCCGTAGTCGCCGCCACCTTCGACTTCGTCACGCGCGCCGCCGGCCGGTTTTTCAGCCATGGGAGGTCGACTTCTTGGTAGACGTACCCCATTTTTTCATTCTCTAAAGTGTCGCTGTTCTTCACGCGCACCAGACGCGCGTTCTCATCGTAGAATAGGTAATCGGCGTTCAGCCAATCAGAATCCGGGAAATCCTTGGGCTGCTTCGGCCCTGATCTCTGGTTCCGCCATATAGTCCAGAGACGGTCAACGTTTGTGTGGTGACTATAGAAAAGTGGGTCCCGCCCTGTTGAGTAGAAGTTCCCCATATCCTCTCCGCTGGCGGTGTTCTCACCCACCCACGCGTGCATCGCCGTGTGTGACCCACGCTCCACCGACCCGGGACCCGGATCCGGTTTCGTCCCGACCACGTACTTCGCCCCGTAGAAATCTTCCAGCTTTTTCACGTTCCGCACCATCTCGCCGTACATGATCGTCAGATTATTAGGGATTATCTTCTTCGGATTCGTCGGCGACTTCGCGGAATACGCGAGGTCCGTCGGCGTCGGCGGCAGGTGCGTCTGGTTCCGCCGCGGGTTGAACAGCGGCGAGTCCTGAACGGCGAACCGCTCCGGCATCACCATTCCGGCGGGATTGTCCCAGTTCCAGAACGGCAGCCCGAAAGTCGGGTCGCCGATCAAGTTTCCGAGAATTCTCTCGTAGAAATACAAATACCATCTGTGCCATGGGAAGAAATGCCAGCAGTTGTGGATTTGGAGCTTCAGTTTCGGGTCGCCGGTTTGCGGGTAAGTCAGGTTGCAGTACGCGCAGTGGACGTTCGCCTGCTGCATGAAGCTCCGGGGGTCGTCGGCCGGGAGGGCTTTCATGAGGGCGACGGCCTTCTCGAACTTGGCGTAGTACTCTTTTCCGGCGAGGTGCGCCGCCGGGCGGTACCGCATTTGGGTGACCGGCGGCAGTTGGTAGTCGATGATCTCAGCGGATTGTGGCGGGCAACAGTTGATGTCCAGGGGCTTTTGGGTGTTGAGGTTTGTGCCGGTGGTGCATTTCGATATGTCGGGAGATGTGATCGGAGCTGCGAATGCTGCCGGGGGATTATCGGCGGAGAGGAGGTGGGCTGCTCCGCCGTATACGCCTCCGATTCCGAGGAGGAGGTTTCTTCTGTCGAGTTTCTGAGTGGGTTCCGTGTTTTTGTCGTTGTTGGTGGCTTTGCATGTGATGTTATTACAGCGGCGGGTTTGTGTCTTGACGGAGGAATTTGATGGGGGAGGTAATTGGGAGGAGGCGGCGGCCGCCGCCGCCGCGGCGCTTGACCACGATAGGGCAAGAGAAGCCATGGTTGTGTTTGGTGTTTACTAATTGATTAGTAAATTCGTGATGGCGAATAAAGCAATAGGCTCTAGTCATATTTATAGACTTAGTTTAATATATATCGGAAAACATAAAATAAAAGAAAATTATTTTCGGATATCAAAATTAGATAGAAAAATTGGAATTTCAAAAGAATTATATAAAATTCCAATTTCAATCAACAAAATATCGGAGAAATCGGAAATGGTAATATTGGGTATCAGAGTGAAGATATTTATTATAAAGTCGAAAATTTTCGAATTGAAATCTGTGGCATTAAGAATTTTAAATTTTTGTTTCAACTCGCGCCCCTAGTTAATATGTATTTAATTATTCAATAATATTTGCAAGTGACTATTCATGTATTAATCCTTTTGAATAACGTTGTTTCTGCATCCAAATTCCAATTGCAACTTGTAAAAAATAAATATTGTTTTTATATAAATATTCCAGGCGGCTTGGATTAGGTATTTATTTATGCTGACAATTATTGGAATAAAAACAAAACATTACTTAACAAAAATAATAGTAATTATTTGATAAGAAATGTGATCAACCTAATCCTCTATATATATCTAAATCGAGTAAACGGTAAAATTACCCATGTGTAATTTCTAAATAGCAAAAACTTTTCTGTGATAAATAAACTAGCAAACTTCGAAATTATTTAAATAGCACACTCAGCCCATTATTCATTTAAGCGTTGACTTGATATAAAAAGACACAAATACCCCCAATGTTTTGCAATTAATAAATTCTTATATTGTATAAATATTTTAATTATTTTATTTTTGTGATATTTTAATTAGAAAAGTACACTGAGGTCTTTTATATCTATTTTTATTATCAGATAATTTGTATATATATTTTAAATTATCCATACATCAAAAGAAAACTTAAATTCCATTGTTATGTATTTCTTTATTTTGTATTTAAAAAAATCTATACTTAATTTGGTTACCAAATTTTTTAATAATTTTTCAATTTAACTGTTTACTAATTTTTTAATTTTTTTTTATTTCGAAACAATCAAATTAAAAAGAATATATATATATATATATATATATATATATATATATATATATATATATATATATATATATATGTATATATATATATATTGAGGAACAGTTTCGTCATTTCACGTCCAAAAATTAGCTACTAGCCTCACATCCAGCGTGTGAGCCAGACGAAAGTCAACCAGAGAAGTTTATGCCTTTAACTAAATTTCACAAGAAGATTTTTGCTAGTTTATTCACCACAAAAGATTTTTTGCTATTTAAAGATTTCACAGAGATACTTTTTGCAGATTACTTTATAAAGATCTTACGTCTTTCATTCAACGGCTTTCATGCAGTAATTTACCACGGCGGCTACGACCTGCTTATTTCTTTTTTCATCTCTTTTGATTTTAAATGGAAAAGAAATACATTTTAAATAGTGATACGATTTTTTAAAATTTTGGAGTTATTCTTCTATAAAGTATAATTGTTTAATCTAGAGCATTTATTAAAACTTAAAAGTCCATCACCTTCTCAAATATGCATGCGCCCCTCCTTCCCATATTATTAACTATTTTGTAAAAAAAAAAATCGTTCAAATTATTTGTTACTTTATAATTTTCATTAAATTATTTATTATGTTTTTCTCGTTCTTATCATTTGTCACTCTTAATTACTCCCTCCTTCCCTTAATATATGTCACTTTTGCCATTTTTTCATATTTCAAATTATCTGTCATTTTACTATTACAATGAATAATTAATTGCAATCTTTCAATTTTGCCCTTCCTCACTCATAATTAATTGAAATATAATTATTTAAAAATCAATTAATGACATGGGCATTTTAGTAATTTACTATACTTTTTGCTACTATCTATGCATATTTATTGAGTTTCTTAATATGCGTGCAACTAACAAAAGTGACAGCTATTGATGGATGGGGGGAGTAGTTAAAAGAGAATCAGTTCAAAATAAATTGATGACATGTATTTTAATAATTTTATACTCTCCATGTCCCATATTATTTATCTTTTTGATTTTTTTTTCGTCCCAAATTATTTGTCAACTTACAATTCTAATAAAAATAGTAATTGCATTATTTCAATTTTATCATTTATCACTCTTAAGTCTTAATTAATTAACTGAAAAATAATTAATCACAATGATATTTTAATGATTTTCTATGTTGTTTGTTATAGTCTAGGCACATTTATTAATTTTCTTAATACGCGCACCACAACAAAAAAAACGTTAAAATAGGACGGATGGAGTAAACATTTTTGCTAAAATTCATTATATTTATACGCACGCAACAAAACAATATGACAACTAAAGGAAGGAGGGAGTAGTTGAAGCAAATCAGCTGACTCAACTAATTCATAAGGACATATTATCAAATTTAAATAAAATATATGAGACTTGACTCAAATAAATGCCTAATTTTAGGGGCTTTAATTGAAATAAATAACTTATGTTCTTACCTCTAATTAGGTGGCGTAAGTAAGGGAGTTTTATCTCATTTTTCTAATATAAAAAATATGTAATTAATTTTAATAATTATCATTTTCATTAAGTTAAGAATAGTCAATCTTGCAAATAGCATTGACTTGTAGGTGATAACTTACAATGGGGACTGGTAGGTGAGGCTGCTCCTCCCTCGACGCCGTTACTTTTTCTTGGTTAGTTTTTTTAGCGTAAATTACAACCACCCATGAGGTATGGCTAAATTACGAAAAATCTCCTCTTGTTTGGATAATTACATGTATTTCTTCATTTATTAATCTTCTTACATCTCCACCCTTATGGTGTCAAATTCAACATAATCATTTAGATTCCGTAGAATGTGCTCTAATTTATACTCGTTTCACCATAATCTGATATATACAAGCCAAAAAACACATCTTATGATCATCTTGCTTCAAAATGTGGAGCTCGAATGTGACAAAATGGGTACAAAAGTGATAAGATTCAATATAATCAAGAAGATTCCACTAAATTTAAAACTACAAGGGTGGACGTGTAATAAAATTTATAGTTGAGAGGTTGCTGTAATTTCCCAAACATAAGAGGAGTTTTCATAATTTTATCATACCTCAGGAGGTGGTTGTAATTTACCCATTTTTTTATTACTCAGTTTTGTATTCCCTTTGTTTACTAGCAATAATAACGTACAGTTCACGCATTATTTTCTGATTTCTTTTTTTTTTCAGAGTATATGTAAGTATCAATTATTATCATGCAATATATGATGAAAATAAAAATAAAAGTCGAGTTAAATTTTATCTTTTATTTGTGATGAGCATATAATTTGTATTGTAGTCAAGATTTTGATAAGTGTGTCACATCAGTATTTTTCAACGTTATATGTTGTATATGTTTAATTTGAATTATTTAACGATTGTTTTGTATAGTTGATCCTATTTTATTTTTAAATAAACATTTTTAAAATCATATCAAGATTGCATATTTCAAATAACAAGTAACATCACTAATATAAATTATTAGAGAGATTAAGAGCTCTACGGTATGAATAAAAAAGAAAGATTACATGAAATCAATATGATATACAATTTAGTCTTTCAATCCTAATTATACCAGAGATTCTATAAAGGAATCCACCAACATAATCAGGGTATCTCAGAAGAACAAATCTCCACTCACACTGCCTCTCGAACCCTGGATTCACCCAGATACCATAGAGAGAAGCAATATTAAGCACATAAACTCACATACTCACCAAAATAGTCTCATATACCACATAAGAAGGATTTGAGAGTTTAGGGCAAATTTATGTGTCTTAACCGCATCCACTCTGCATGACTTGTATAAATGTGACTCAAGTCAAATGTACGGTGAAGGCAACAACAAAAAGTCAAAGTCAGTCGCATACGGTGACATATTTGACATCTGGTTTAACATAGTCTCATGCAATACGAAGGAGAAGGATAACAAAAAACGCAAAGGAGGAAACGTTAGAGTTTGCGAAGGAAGAGGGAGAATATATAATAGGAGATAAATGGTCAGGATTAAACTATCTTGATCCAACGGATGAGATCAATAATTAATCAGACTTAAACGCACTTAAATATCTAACTAAGCTTCTCATAGTGATGGGCAAATTTAGGAGCAAATGTGCTTTCTGGCCATCACTTTATTTGGGCCGAAACCAACAAACTATACAACAGTACAATGGGTGGAAATTGGTACGAAATTTTCGATTTTTTCAAATTTCGATTCCAAATTTTCAATCTTGGAACAATATTTTTTAATTTCAATTCTGAAATTCCGACTTTTGATTTTTCTGAAATTATTTGGATCCGAAGTGGATTATATATGAGATTTCGATTCCCGGTCTAATTTAAATTCTGAACATAATTCAAAAATTTCGATTTTTTTCCAAATATTACACTTGAAATACCAATATTATTATGTAATTTATATTTAGGTGACAAAAAATTGGACATGTATGAATTCCGATGATTACAATCCGAAATTTTCCGATTCTGGAACAAGTTTTTTCCGTTCCAATTTACGAAATTCCGATTTCCAATTTTTCCGAAATAGAATTGGAACTAATTTTTCACTTCCGAAAATAAACGATTTTTTCTTAAAGGGCTTATTTATGATTTCAATACTAGAGGGATAAAGAATCATTACCCTTATTTTGATTCCTTAGCCAGAGTTTGATTCATTTTGACTATGGTCATTCTTAGGCTACATAGAAATCAAAACTGTTTAAGATTTTCTAGAGGTGAAGAAACTATTAGAGGCATTAGTAAAATGAACATTAATCATAGAAATCGATAGACCAATCAAAACAACAACAACAAATTTTTTTAATAATAATAATAATAAAAAAAAAAAAAAATTAGAAGTTGTGAAACTTGCTCCTAGAAATAAATTTCTAACAGACTGGTCACTATATATGCAATAAGCTTCCAAATTAATAACAAACAAAAGAAATTATTTGTTTAAGAAAAACCAAATCACTAGACCATATAATGCAACAAATTCTCTTAATCAATTTAATTGGCCATCTAATCAGCTACGATAATTTCTTATTAAAATCGTCTTGTTCTACATTTTACATACTTTCACCTCAACAGTTATACTACCTTTTTTATTTTCCTTCGTATATTCGATTATCTCGATTCTCATTCTTATCATTTGATGTAGTTGCTCCTCTTCGACAGGCACGGTGTTAACAACAATAAACCTCAGAAAAACACATGTTATTGGCTAGAGATCTGAAGTTAACAGATATATAAAGAATACTAAAATAAAGAACAAATAGAGCAAGTAATATAATAGATCACAACTCAGTCTTTTAAATTATTTACACTAGAGATTCACTAGGGTCTCCACCAAGATTGCACCAGAGAGAACATATCTCTCACTCTAACCCACCCAGGCTCAGAGGTAAGACCAGAAAACGAGGCACTCAGAACTCACCCACTCACCACAGGTCCAACTCACAGAAGAGAAAGCAAAAGATTAGGGATTTATGGCTTTCTCTAAGTCATACTTTCTACCACTTTACTCCCGACATTAAATAGGAGCTCCAATCAAAATTCAAAGGTAACTGTTGAAGGGACCTCCACTGGGAGGTTTGACCCACTGTTGCTGGAGTAAAAGGACTAAAGAGCAGAATGAGACAAAGTAGGAGTCCATAGACTGTCTGGGTTGGAAAACGGGCAAAGGGTACAAAAGAGAGAGGGGCTGAGATTTTAAAGAGATGAGACCGTGGGAGGTGAGATCTCACAATCCCATCTGTTCCCCCTCATACCCACATGGGCTTTGACCTTTAAGCCCTCAATATTCTTCTTCCGTTATTACAATTTTTCTACCAAACCTTATCTTTCGGAAGCCCTGGCCGTTCATCTCTCTATGCATTTCGGTTTCTTCTCCTTTCGAGTATCTGTTCTCCTTCGATTGAAGGCCGTTATATATTTATTGAAGCTCTTCGTCGGAGTTGCACAAGGTTTGCGTCCCTTCGATTTTATTTTGCTTCTTTGGGAAAAAATCTAACCCCGTTCCAACTTTTATGTGTTGTATAAATGTTGAAAGGATTTGTTGCATACTAATTGTCTACTGGAGGACGGGGGCTTGCTCAATTTTGTGCATGTGTCTGCCAATTTATGTACAAATAAATATCTTGAGCCATTGTCTTCGCCAATTTTCAGTAAAAAGAGTAATTGAAAAATAAGTATGTTTAAGAATGCTTTGTGTATAGGTATGGGGAGACAAACAGTAGAAAACTCAAGAGACCTAATTTACATTTTGTCTTGAATGTTCTTTAATTTCTAATTCTCTTCTTGCTTTATTTAGTTTATGTTTGGGGTTGTCGTAAGTAGAGAAGATGGTGGTTTATGTCTTTTGAGAATAACAAGAAACTTCCTTGAATTGATATTTTAAGTTTTTTAATTGGATCCAAAAAAAAAAAAGGTGTTAGAGTTGTCTTTGAATTACTTGCAGGCATGCATTTTTTGTATATAAATAGGTTTTTGAATTCATTTAAACATAAATTATAATGAAAAAATTTCCTTCTTTAAATGTGTAGATAGCTCTTTGTGTGGAATTTGAGTTGATTTCGATTGTGCTCGACAGGTGGTTATATTTGCCTTTTGTTAAGCTTGTTATCGAAAAAGATCTGTGGAATTTATGGTTACAACAAACAATTTATAGTGGACTTGAGATCTTTGTCTTGTTTGGATTAATAACATAAAATTATCACTGTTTAGCCTTACGAGAATCCACATCGGTCAGGCTCGTTAATATGAAGCTTTATATCTTTGTTACTAATATCTCATTTGTACTTCATCGGCGAGTTACGCTTGTTATGAAATCTTGCACTTTATAATTTTAATGTCTTTTTGCAAATTGAATTAGTTTTTCTTTGTTTCATTAGTTAATATTGAGCTGAATTTTGGTTTGATAAGACTCTAAAGCAATTTTGGTTTGGTATTCTATCTTTGTTATTTTTTTACTAACTTAAAGTAATTTATTTTATTTTCTTCTTCGTGAACAGGTGAAGGATAGTAAAGAGAACTGCAGGAAATAGAGGCAATACTCAAGACTCCACACTAGTTTCACACTAGTTTTTCTGTTGAGTTATTGTTGTATTTATTTATTTTACTTAGGATCGAATAGTACGAGATAGGTAGTTAGTTATCTGTGTTTTGTGAATTTGTTCAATTGTATTCACGAGAATTGTTATTTTGTATCACATTGATATGATTGTATGAATATTTTATTATTGATAAATGTTCGATAGACTTGTAATAATGTGGTACAGCCTTACAGGTTTGTGAGAATTTCATTGATGTCGACAAAATTGATGTTGTGAAGATTCACGGAACGCTCTAATTTATTCAGTCATTTCAGAAATCATTTAATTACTTGATAGCTACCAATCAAGTCTTCTTTTGTACTATTTACTCCGACTTCAGTAAATACCAACTTTGAGGACAACAAACATTGATGTTAAACACCAATAATTTTCACCATCCATTTTCTGCTTCATGCTTTCTAACCAAAGATTGCAGTACATTGGTCATTTCCAACAAGCAGGAATCATCATCTGCTCCACAAACTTTGGCATCACACCAAAAGAAAAAATGATATTTATTAACTTGCATAATTATGTTTACAGAAGACAAAAGAGAAAACGAAAATTCCAATGAATATTTGAAATCATGCAAAAGAAATATACGCAAATGCATTACTAAGTATCCTACTATCTGGGGGTAATTTTGTAAATGACCACAATAATCAATCAATCCAACATACCTTTCAGAAGATTGATAAGAAAAGATTTAATGCCATGAACTCAATCCCACTTACCAAATATGGGTTCCTAGTTTTTACCATCTATCCCTACAGTGTCATGTGCAGTTGGATTTCGAATCCCATCCACTCCCATCCCTCCAACCAAAATAGGCCTAATCCTACTGCTAGGATTAAGTCTCCAATTCCTTCCAACTAATGGACTGTCAAATATCTTTTGGGCTTTTCTTGGAGGTGGGTTGATAAAATAGGAGAATTGGGCTACATATCCATAACACATTGGGCCACAACCTCAACATCGACTCTATTGAGCCCTTACACCCCCTTTTTTTGTCGATACTTTTACAACCGCGTGACGAATTGACCCCTGAACTACCAAAAAATGCACATTTTTACCCAAACTTGCTTGGATGGTTACCGCTGCCCAATCTGTTTTTTTCCCCCTTCCGGTTATAGTTGACAAAGGCGAGTGCCAAAACCCTAGTGCTCGTACAACATCCAAGTGGAAGCTCTTTAATTTGTTCCGTTCATTCACCGGATTGCATGATCCTTGACATACACACAGTTTGTATTGAAGAAACTCTATTTTTGTTTAACTAATCTATGTCTAACTTTTTCTATGAAGAAAATATATATCTAACTTCGGTTACCCTAAAAATTGTTGAACTTTGTGTTCGTTTAATTTCATTTCTCCATCGGATCCAATTTTTTGTAATTAAAATTACAGTAAACATCTATTAATTTATATAGGGGATTTTATGCAAAAGTCTCCAACCAAACATGTTTATTATTCTAGGTTTATGTGACATATCTCTTTCACCAATAAGCCCATCCCTTTAATATTTATTATAACTAAAGGAAACATTCATGTATATATCCCAATATTACCCTCAACCATTTATACCCAATTCTTAATTGTAACCCCAATTTATTAATTTTGTTCACAAAAATCCAATTTTGACCACAAAAATTCAATTTTGACTTTTTTTGGAGCATAATTTAATATGCTCCAATTTCATCATTAACTTAATTTAATCTCAATTTTGACCCAAAACTTTTTTTTTTCAAAAAAAAGTTTTTTTGCCGCCGGATTCCGGCGTTGACTTTTCAATTTTTTTTTCTTTTCTTCTTGATTTTTTCGCCGGTTTCCGGAGGTCTCCGGCGTTGACTTTTTTTAGTGTTTTTTTAAGTATTTTTTTTTTGTTTGGTTTGTTTTGTTTTTCCACGTCCGCCGCTAAACGTTGACCGTAATTGTGCTGTCACTAACAGTAAATTAACGTAATTATACTGTCAATGATAGTTAATTAACGTAATTGTACTGCCGTTGACATTACATTTATGTAATTGTGCTGCCGTTGATAGTAAATTAATGTAATATTATTATTATTATTATTATTATTATTATTTTTCTTATTTTGTTTGATTTGTTGACAAGTCAACGTAATTATATTACTGACGTTGACAGTAAATAACTGTAAAAACAATAATATTATTGTCAACAACATCAATATTATTATTTTTTTGGGGTTTTTGTTTTGTTTGAGTTATTCACGGAGTAACGTAATAATATTACTGTCTATTATTGTAATATTACTGTAAACACAATAATATTAATGTGGTTGACGGTAATATTACTGTTGTTATAGTAATATTGCTGTCAACCACATCAATATTATTATTTTGTTTGGATTTTTTGTTTGTTTGAGTTATTCACGGAGTAACGTAATAATATTACTGTATATTATTGTAATATTACTGTGGTTGACGGTAATATTATTGTTGCTATAGTAATATTACTGTCACTCACAATAATATTAATTCTTTTGGTTTTTTTCATTATGTTTACATTTATTGAACGGTCAACATAGTAATATTACTTTATTACACAATAATAATGAGTTTTGTTATGTTAATATTAATGTGCTAGAGATTAATATAGCAATATTACTGTGTTAAACTATAGTTTAGTTAATTTTACTGTGTTTAACAATAATATAGTTAATATTACTGTCAATCACAGCAATATTGCTGTTTAAACGGAAAAAAAAAAAGTTACAGAAAAAAAAAGAAGAAAAGAAGAATTAAAAAAAAAATTAAAAAAGTAAACGCCGGAATCCGGCGAAAAAATCCGGAAGAAAGAAAAAAAAAAAGTTGAAAAGTCTACGCCGGAATCCGGCGGGAATTTTTTTTTTTTTGAAAATAAAAGTTTTGGGTCAAAATTGAATAATTTGTGAAATTTGAGGTCAAATTGAAGTTAAATTAAGTTAAAGATGAAATTGGAGCATATTAAAGTATGAGGGGTTATTTTAGTCCTTTACAAAAATTTGGAGCATGCGTGGACTTATTGGTAAAGGAGATTTTTATCTGGATCTCTTTATGAATAAGTACCCATTGATGGGCTTATTTGTAATATGCCCATTTATATATTCGTGAGTAACAAAATTCTATTAATTTAATAAAATATTAAACATCAATTTAATAATTTAGTGTTAATAGAATTGAGGAAAAATTGATGTGTATTCTTCTCCATAGGAGGCACTATTTATACACATAGAGAGAAAGCTATACAAGGAAATTACCAATTACAATGAAATCAAATCTCCTAACTTATGTAAAGTATATCAAATCAAATCCCTAACTTATTTCCTAAGAATATACATTAACAGCCCCCCTCAACCTCAAGGAGGGTGACAAACCAACTTGAGGTTGTAGACCAAATCACGATGACTCAGAAAATCCTTCAATTCTTGAATTCCACTAGGATCATCACCAGTTATGATCATATCATCCACATATAAGAGGAGGAAGATGGAGCCTTTGTCAGTACGACGGAGAAATAAGGCAGAATCATAACAAGATGGAGCCTTTGTCAGTACGACGGAGAAATAAGGCAGAATCATAAGAACTGGCAGAGTAACCCAAATGGTAACCCAAATGAGATATAGTGGAGCTGAATTTGGCAAACCAAGCTCGAGGGGCGCGTGCGGTCTCCGATGGCAGTCTGATTTTCACCGATGAGTAGATCGTTTAACGACGATCTTGGTGGTATGATCAGAATCTGAATCGGAGCGATGACGCACGCACAACAGTGGTTTTATGGTGTTTCGGCGGAAGCGAGAAACGAATAAGATGAAAACACCATAGGGAAACCAAAAATTGCTAGAAGATCAGAGATAATGCTCTGATACCATGTTAATAGAATTGAGGAAAAATTGATGTGTATTCTTCTCCATAGGAGGCACTATTTATACACATAGAGAGAAAGCTATACAAGGAAATTACCAATTACAATGAAATCAAATCTCCTAACTTATGTAAAGTATATTAAATCAAATCCCTAACTTATTTCCTAAGAATATACATTAACATTTAGTATGTTTACACACGATCGAAATCGGGATAGATTATTGTTTAAGTTAGTTTATTAATTTATCGAGATTCAAGTATAGTACAATATTTCTTATCTATACTATTATATTGTGTTGCACGTGAAAATTTCAATTTTATTTTCCGCGTTCCAATTGTCCATAAATCTAGGGGTCTCTGTGCAATCAGACGAACCTTGTGGGGGCTAGAATTTAATAAATAGGGTATCAGATATTAATTAGGGTAAATTAAGTCACTCATGAGGTAAGATCAAATTATGAAAAACACTCTGTATGTTCAGGCGATTACAATCACCCATTAACTATGAATCTTCTTACACATAAAAGTTGACGTGTAAGAAGATTCATAATTAAAGAGACTGATTGTAATTACTCAAAAAAGATGGGTTAGTTCGGAATTTAACATTAACTCAAAGGGTGCCGTAATTTACCCAATTAATTATTCAAGTGTTTTTAATCAGAAACGTGATGATAATTTAATTCATGATTGGCTCAATGGGCTACACTCTTCTTAAGAGCAGGTGAATTTACTTCTGTACTAATTCATTTTTAGTTTAAATTAAAAAAAAAGGAAAAAAAAATGTGTAATTGTGTCAAATATTTTTTTTCCCTTTCAATCATGACTATTTTTAATAATTTTATAATTCTATAATTTTGTTTGCTCCAACCTAATATGATATTCAAAAAAAAAAAAAAAAAAGAGTAGAAAGTATTTATGTAGAGATTTCGAATTTTATCAACTTCACCGTAAAATTTCCGAATGTTAGAGAAATATGTTCTAGAATAATGCATAGATTTGTCCGCATTGGTAATATTTATTGATTGTTATTATTTTTTTAAGAATATTGGTAAGGAAAATATTGAAAAATACATGATCCATAAATTTACAGAGTAGTACATGCATAATATATACATTTTTTTTTTTGAGTAAACATGATATACAAATCAATATTATGATTTCAAAACCAACTCTTAGCTACCTCTCTCTCTCTCTCTCTCTCTCTCTCTCTCTCTCTCTCTCTCTCTCTCTCTCTCTCTCAATAATTCCAAGTATTCTGCACTCTCTCTCTCTCTCTCTCTCTAATATCTATAACTTATGTTGCAGCTCAAGAAGGAAACTATATATCATACTCAAGGCACATGATACCATGTGCGCTACATATCTCCCAAT